TCAAGGGGATTCCCATCCTGGGTATAGGCTACTTGTTCTGGGGCTTGCTGAAGCCCCTTCCAGATATGAAGTTCTATGACTCAACATCACAGCATAATTAGGTCCTACTGGGAACCCGGGACAGAGAAGTAACCCCACTGACAGAGTGCCTACTATGTGCCAAACACTGGGCTTCCTGCACATGACCTCACCTAATGCCACCACAGGTCAATGAGGGAAGTCCTCCTCCCATCTGAGAGGGGGAACCAGCAGGGACAGCTTTCTCTGGGCTTCCCCTGGAGCACAGGCAATTGATGGAGAGCCCCACAGCACTTCCAGAGCATTTGCACAGCACAGGTATTTTATTTTATTATTCTTTTTGAGATAATCTCATTTTGTCGCCCTTGGTAGAGTGCCATGGCATCACAGCTCACAGCAACCTCAAACTCTTCGGCTCAAGTGATTCTCTTGCCTCACCCTCCCAAGTAGCTGGGACTATAGGCGCCTGCCATAACACCTGGCTATTTTTTTAGAAACGGGGTCTTGCTTTAGCTCAGGCTGGTCTTGAACTTGTGAGCTCAGGTGATCCGCCTGCCTCAGCTTCCCAGAGTGCTAGAATTATAGGCATGAGCCACCTTACCCAGCCTTCAGCACAGATTTTTTAGATCAGATTTTTTTTTTTTCAGTTTTTGGCTGGGGCTGGGTTTGAACCCGCCACCTCTGGCATATGGAGACGGCGTCCTACTTCTTTGAGCTACAGGTGCCACCCAATATTTTTTTTCCTTTTTGAGATAGAGTTTTACTTTACTTTGTCCCCCTTGGTAAAATGCCATGACATCATTATAGCTCACAGAACCTCAAACTCTTGGGCGAAAGCAATCTTTTTGCCTTTGCCTCCCACGGGACTCCCCTGGGACTACAGGTGCCCACCACAATGCCCAACTTGTTTTTTTTATTTTTGGTAGAGACAGGGTCTCACTTTTGCTCAGGCTGGTCTGAAACTCCTAAGCCCAAGCAAGCCACTCTTCTCAGCCTCCCAGACTGCTAGGATTACAGGTGTATGCCACCAAGCCTGGCCACAGCACAGATTTTAAGCTTAAGGGAAGAATCTTCGATTGCAGCATCTGGTATCAGTATCTGGTATCTGTGATGAGAGGCTCCAGGTAAGAGCCTGTATCCCCCACCACTTGGGTGGTTGGAGGCAAAGACGGCGACCAGAGGGATGACAAGTTCTTGTTTGTGTGTGTTTTATGGAACTGGAGTTTTGATGTCTGCCAGGCCTTCCCAGCTGGAACCGGAGTGGGCACAGGGCCAGACTTGTCACCTTCTGGGCGGGTTTAAGAACCAGGGAGGAGGGCCTGGAACCAGGGCTGGGGCAGAGGTGCCAGCCACCTGCTTTGGGACCAGGGTTTATAACTAAAGCTGTTGCATACGGACTGGCAGGTGGGCTCGGTCGGTTCTGGGTGTGGCCCCCTCGCTGGGGGAAGGAAACCATCACTGGACAGGCTGGAGAGGTCCCTAGGGAACCAGGGATTGGCAGGGGTGAGTACATCTTTCCACAATTCCCCTCAACCTTTCCCCACTGAGTTCCTCACCTGCAAGTGACTAAGTGACTGCCCGTCCCAGAGGTACCTAGGTGGAGGCCCAGTGGCCACTTGCCAGGGATTTGAGGCCCCTGGATCTCTCAAAGAAGCAGTGGTGGGAGTAATAATAAGCACTGTAATTTATTCAGTGCCCACCAAACACCTGATACTGTGGGTCATCTCACCAAATTGAGGCCAGGCCCAGCTTAGCATCTTAGCTCTCTAGGCATTATCTTCATTTATACTTACAACAGTCCTGTAAGGTAGATATTGACATTTTATCTGTTTTGTTTTATTTATTTACTTTTTGAGACAGAGTCTCATTTTGTTTTGTTGCCCTTGGTAGAGTGTTGTGGCATCACAGCTCACAGCACCTCAAACTCTTGGGCTCAAGTGATTCTCTTGCCTCAGCCTCCCAAGTAGCTAGGACTGCAGGCACCTGCTACAACTCCTGGCTGTGTTTTTGTTGCAGTTGTCTTTGTTGTTTAGCTAGACCAGGCCAGGTTCAAATCCACCAGCCTGGGTGTATGTGGCTGGCGCCCTACCCACTGAGCTATGGGCACCGCCCTATTTTTTCATTTTTCAGATAGAGTCTCACTTTAGCACCCTTGGTAGAGTACCATGGTGTCATACTCTTGGGCTCAAGTGATCCTCTTGCCTCGGTCTTCCAAGTAGCTTGGACGACAGGTGCCCACCACAAAACCTAGCTTTTTTTTTTTTGTTTTTGAGGCAGAGTCTCACTTGTTGCCCCCAGTAGAGTACTGTAGTGTCATAGCTCACAGCAACCTCAGACTCTTGGGCTCAAGAGATTCTCTTGCCTCAGCCTCCTTAGTAGCTGGGATTACAGGAGCCCACCACAGTGCCCAGCTATTTTAGAGGCGGGGTATCACTCTAGCTCCAGCTGGTCTCTAACTCCTGAGCTTAGGTGATCCACCAACCTTGGCCTCCCATAATGCTAGGATTACAGGTGTGAGCCATTGTACTGGGCCTGATATTGACATTTAACAGACAAGGAGACTGAAGCACAGAGATATTAAGTAATATGTCCAAGGGCACACAGCAAAGTAAGTGGCAAAAACAGGATTTGAACTCCCTGACTCTAGAACCTGTTCTTACCCACCAGGCTATATTGTCCTGTATGACTATGATGAGTCCTTTCCCCTTTCTGAATGGCAGTTTCCTTATCTATAGTTTGAGGGTATAAGGCTTGACCAGAAAGATGGTATTCTGAGGTTTCCTAAAAGTGCCCAAGACAGGCTGGATACAGTGGCTCATGCCTGTAATCCTAGCACTCTGGAAGGCCACGGCAGGTCGATGGCTTCAGCTGAGGAGTTTGAAACCAGCCTGAGCAAGAGTGAGATCCCATGCTCTACTAACAATAGGAAAAACTAGCTAGGTGTTATAGTGGACGCCTGTAGTCTCAACTACTTGGGAAGCTGAGGCATGAGAATCTCTTGAGTCCAAGAGTTTGAGGTTGCTGTAAGCTATGATGACACCATGGCACTCTACCCAGGGCAACAGGGTGAGAGTCTGAAAAAAAAAAACCCAACAGACTGTGTACATGCCCTTTGACCCAGCATTCAACTTTTCAGATTTATCATAAAGATATAATCAGATTCATGAGTAAAGTTCATTACAGTTTTGCTATAAGCACAGAAAATTAGATGCAAATAAAATATCCAACTGTAGGGGGAATAAATTATGAATATCCTATGATCAAATAATACACAGCCATTCAATATCATATTTTCTTTTTTTTTTTGAGAATGAGTCTCACTATGTCACCCTCAGTAGAGTGCTGTGGTGTCACATCTCACAGCAACCTCAAACTCTTGGGTTTAAGCAATTCTTTTGTCTCAGCCTCCCTAGTAGCTGGGACTGCAGGCCCTTGCCATAATGCCTGGCTATTTGTCATTGTTGTAGTTGTAGTTGTCATTGTTGTTTAGCAGGCCCAGGCCGGGTTTGAACCCACCAGCCTTGGTGTATGTAGTTGGTGCCCTAACCTCCAAGATATAGATACCAAGCCCAAAATCATATTTTC